TTTGCTGAAGTACATCTAAAAATTTAGGTACATATAAATTTAAAAATAATTTTGTTAAATCAAAATAATTCTGTAGAAATTCAAGCATGATAAATAATGTTGCAAAAGTTTTGACTATTCTAGTTCTAGCTTGAACGTAATCTTTCATAATATTATTTTGATTTGAGTCCAACAAAATTATTTTCAGATCTATACTTACAACTTAATTTTTAGATATTTTAGCAAAACCATTCTTTTCGTTTACGATTTTCATGATTCTTAGTTTAGAAATAGTTCAGACAGCCGAAAGAGATGCGGGTAAAAAGAACCACGGAAAAGTTAAATAAAGCGCGGAGCCAAAAAACCGCCATGGATCTTCTCGGAAGTGACGTTTGGCGATGTATAGCTTCGCGACGATGCGGACACGTCCGAGTCCTTGATTTTAAAGATTCTTGTTTTACTTCCAAAAAAGAAGGAAACGTTGGACTTTTATAAGATTATACGCGAGAGGAGAGTACAGTGATCTCTCAACGAGAAAGATAACAAGACTCTCGTCGTCGCGCGGAGAAATGTTGGTCGCGTGCCAACGCGTAAAATTCGCGCAAGAATGAATCGTTAAACTCGCACGATTCTCTTAAAGTAATACCAAGAAATATTCGAATAATAAATACTGCAGCAAATCAGAAATTTTCCCTGATTGGCGAGGAGAATAAAAAATGAGATCAACGTTTATTAAGTTCCGCAAGAGATTACATCCTAGATGTAAGAATAAAAAAATATCATCTTTTCTAAATGTACAGTTTTACATCGCCAACTGCCAAAAAATTTCACAAAGTAATTCCTGCTTGAGAAAAAGAAAAGATACAATTTTATAAAAAATAATTTGATTATTGTCTCTGTTATTTCATTTCAAAAATATTCTATCACACAATATAAATTAATATTATTATCAAGAAGATGGTAAATTGGAAAACAATAAATATTAATACGAAAAGCAGCAATTCTATTTTAACAGTTTCCACGTTTTACAAGACATTACGAATACCTACTGTCAATATATATACGTAATCATTCCGTAATTTCAGTGCATTAAAGTTTCTTAGCTATTACAAGACTGGATTTGTTTCGAGCATCCCTATTTAAACGATACAGCAATCCACTGTGTTCCCGGTTCTTGGGCAACTCCATCTCTCTGGTTCCTTCCTTCTTTCCTCCCTCCCTCTCTCTCTCTCTCTCTCTCTCTCTCTCTCTCTCTCTCTCTCTCTGCATCTCTGTCGGTCCAACTATTCGAATCTCATCAGGCGATAAGTTAGTTTCATCAAGCAGAAATACTCTTGCTCACGAGAACGTGCGACAAAGACGAAAACGACGAAAACGTTTCTCGGAAGAAGATAAACTATACAGAGTGAAGTTAGATTTTGATAGCAGATGTAACGGAACTATCCTCATGTCAATTCTGAAAAACATGCTTTAATTAAAATCTTATAAATTAAATCAAATCGTTTTAATCAAATAATTTAATGATAAAATGTGTAAATTTTTTAAACATCCCAGCAAACGATATTTCACGTATATATACGGAATTACTTGCATCCACTAAGATTAAATCATCTATATGTTCCTGTAAGTTAATTAAAACTGATTGTTTCAAAAAATAGAAGTATAAAGTTCTATTAAATAATCAGACTTTAATTCGTTTCTCTATAAGGATATCAGAAAATGTATGACTAACATTTCTTTACAAGAATTCTGATGTCCCATGTGCTTTTAGCATTCTAATAATTATTGTCCGATAACGCTTATCTCTATCGTTAAGCTTCGCGTATGAATCAAGAAATTCTCGCGTCTCAATTTCACTCGACGGAAAGTCGTTCAAGTCATTGGCTGAAAACAGCGGATTTGCCAGGTTTCATTTCGAATGCCTGCAGGAATACCGATGTGACGTGATGCCGACATGATGCGACGCGATACGAATGACGAATGGACCGGTCTGTACGCGCAACACTCTTGGAACGTATATACAGAACGTGCATCTAGCGACGCGGTCGCATAAACTCGACCGTATCGCACCGACATCCATACGAAATTCACACCTTGCACCACTTGTCCGATCTGTTTCGTCAGCGGAAGAGATTCTGCGTACCCGCATGGAATAAACGCTCGTCGTCTCGTTTCCGCTCGCTAAACTATCCTCCTCTATCCTCATCCTCTCTCTCCTCCTTCTCTCTATTTCTCTCTTATCCTTATCCCGGTTCGTGGTTGGGTCCGCGTAATTATAACTTCGACAGAATGACAACACCGCGTCGAACGTATTCTCGAGCTATTCATCCCTTTCAAAGGTGTGCTCGAGCACCGTGCTCTAATTATTTCATTTTCCGCCAAGCCGTATCAAGGAAAACAGACAGCGAGGATAGAAAAGTGATGGTAAAGGTAGATTGAGAATCCCAAAAGTCAGTTGTTAGATATCAAAGGAGCAATGGTAACTAAATTCCTTAAGTTAAATAACATTTTGTTATTTTTAAACTTTCATATGCACTCTTTAGAATCTAATTCTAATCTCATTCTCTCATTTAGAATTCTAATCTATTTAGAATTCTAATCTCATTCTCTCATTTAGAATTCTAATTCTAATCTCATTCTAAAGAATGAAAATTGAGCCAGTCTTGAAAAAGAGTGGCTCAATTTTTATTCTTTAAGAATGAGATTTCATATTCTTCAGATTGACAATTCGCTCTAAAAAAGTTTTAGAGAATAAAAATATCAAAAATCAATTCACTTCTGTGTAATTAGTTTCGAAATAAATGACGTCCATATTAACTAGAAGTGCAAGATCGGGTCGGAAATGTTTTTCGGGATCGGGACGAGATTTTGAAATTTTCGAGATTCCCGAGAATGTTCGGGATTCCCGAAAGTATTCTGGTTACCCGAGAATGTTTGGGATTTCTGAAAATATCTCTTTTACACTGAAAGAAAAGATTGACTGTAGAAAATTAGATGGTAAAATATGGCATAGCATTTTTAATTGATTGCAACAATCAAAAATTGGCTGTTGCAGCCAATTAAAAATGTTATATATTTACCATATGTACCATAGATAAAAACAGAAAAGTAAAAATGTAGCATATTTTGGAGAAAATCCAGTATTAAAAATACTGATATTATAGATTGATGGAAAAAATAATATTAAAAATTTCTGTACGGTACCAGATATCTCGAAGATTCTCGAGAAACCAAAATATTTTTGGAATCCCATCTTAAACATTAGCTTTCGAGAATTTACGGGATCTCACACACCTCTAATATTAACATATGTATTCAGTAAATAATAAACTAAATTTGAATCAAATTTAATATATTTTCTTGAGTTAAATTGTTTAATTCCATTGGTTTAGCTAAAGTAATGACATATTCAGCAGTGGCGACTTATAGAAATAATTAATAATAACTCAAATTAGATATAATTAGACATTATAAAGTTAACAGTGTACTTTCTCGGACTACTTTAACGGTACCTTTGAACCACGGAGTTCCAACAACATGCGAATAGCTTTAAGTTGTTTATCCTTTATTCCATTTCCTTTAATCGAGACATCATTTTCTTCGCAATCTTAGATTATTTATTTGGGTATGTGAAGTTAGCACCCCAACTATAGTACTCAGGAATTCTGATTAGAGTTCCCGTTTCTTTTTCAAAAAAATTTTTTTTAATAAATTTTCTTATTTATCAAAATTGTTTTTTATTTATCCGGAACTCTAGATATTCACAAAATAGAGCTATTAAGCTACTCAAAACTATTCGATCTAAAATTTCGCTGAGAAGTTAGCACCCCATTTTTTTAAAAATTATTTAAAAATAATTATTAAGCGGAACTCTTGTTATAAATTATATAGAACTCTTTGTTTCATCAAAAGGAAATGGGAACTCTAATTAGAACTCCTGAGTACTGTAGTTGGGATGCTGACTTCACATACCTTATTTATTTATGTTTGGTGATATTACATTGAAGATGTTTCGGTTTTGATTTTAGGAAAGAATTTCGAATATATAGAGAATTTTAACAAAGTTAGAAAAATGTTATTTTTTATCTTCACATCCAGCATGAAATATCATTCATAAAACTAAATTTATATTTAGAATTTTACGATTTTACTAAAATATCTAAAATTTAAATAGATGCAAATCTGAACATAATTTCGTCGAATCACCAAAATAATTATGTAAAAAACTCAAGCAAAATGAATAATATTACAAAAAATTTCAATATTTTAGCAACAGTTTGAGTCTTCATATAATTTTATTTTAATGATTCAACGGAATTATTTTTAAATCTATATCCAGTTAAATTTTTAGATACTTCAGCAAAATAGTTCTTTCCATGTACGGTAACTTTCCGCGTATAGATAAAAATTTCAAATATTTCAATTGCATTTTTTTAATACAAACACAAAAATATATAAATACGAGATATTAAAAAAAACCTATATATTTTTACATTTTAATTTTTCTTTTATCTTTCAACACTTTATTTAAACAAATATTCCATCTTAGTTTCCGATCGCACCATTATCCGATACAGAGAAATTGCGATTTTCTGATTCGAATAGTTGCGGCGGCAAACGAAAAGATGAAAACGGAAATAGAGAAAAGGCAAAGAACTGTATGGTTGCACTCGTTTAACTCCTTTGCATTCGTTCATTTAAGTAGCTAACTCATCCAGATCGCTTGGCGCTTTATATGCGCTTGCGGGTTCATTCACAAAGAGAATCCGTCAGTGCTGAAATTACAGCCGGAATAATCTGTAAATTATTTAGAATCTCGAATACGATTGAACATAACATCAAGGAGAACGATGAAACACACTCAAAGACTGCACTGTTAAAATATTAATTATTATTACAATTCAGTAAATATCCTCATTAATATTAAAAAAAAATATATATATCTTAGTTCTGTCAATTTAATAGCGTGTTGCTGCAATCATTAGAAATAAAAGGACTTACGGCACTCATTGCAATTGCAGGTCGACCAGGCACGGATTATCCAGTACTGGGAAAGGTACCTTACACGAATTTCTACTGCGACGACCAGTCTTTCCCCGGTTTCTTCGCCGACGTAGAGACGAGATGCCAAGCGTGGCATTATTGCGACATAGACGGCCGACAAGCAACGTTTCTCTGTCCGAACGGCACGCAATTCAGCCAGGCGGTCTTCGTTTGCGACTGGTGGTTCAACGTAAGGTGCGAGCTCAGCCCGAAGCTTTACGCCATCAACAGTCGACTTTACGGTACGCCCACCGAGAGCCCGACGAGACCTCATCGACTGATTACGAAGGAGCTTTTAGAGAATATATTCGTGCGTAGGAAATGAAGAAAGCGAATGGCACAAATACTCGTCTTGAAAAGAAAGAAAGAAGGGAAAACACGATCATTACCTTAGAAGAAAAGTGTTTTTCTCGCAATACAGGAATTGTAAAAACGCTGCGAGATTACCGGCGCCTCAAAAAATATCTTATGAGTCTCCGGATACATGCAGAAAATTATTTTCTCTCTTTAATAAATCTGTGACTCGGATCTTCGTATCTTTTTCCAACATGCGGAAGCATTCGCAGTCATTTAACTATTTCATCATATCAATAGAAGTTAGCAATGGGATGCCCGAGCCCCGTCACGATTGCGGAACTTTCAAAGGAAACGAAGAGACGAGAGCATCTGATGATCGCGAGAACACGGACGGCGCGATTATTCGTGACAATCGTGAATTCTGCGAAAGGTTGTCACAAGAGCATCGCGGGGCTGCCGTCGACGATAGCACATTCGAGCCGCTGAATCGCACGAGCGTTCTGGGGAAATTATCGGTGGATAAATTTTTGCCCAATGAATATCGAAATGACGATCTTCGTCGAAGGCAAAGAACATTCCTCTCAGAACGGGAGGGAATGAAGGATACGTTCGTCGTGATGAGTACCGTTGCATCAATAAAAGAGAAACCGGAGGTGGAGCGACTTCCGCCTGTGATGTGATCAGCCTTCCCTTCTGACGGGAGGAATTGCCTGACGCAGAAAAGCGTCCTGTACCTTCGATGCGGTTCTTAATCGTTGATGAGATCCTGCTCTAGACTGCGAGAAAGCCAAAGCGTCTTCCTCAGTCTCTTCTTTCGATCGATACTTTATGAACGTCTCTTATCGAAAGGCATCCTTCTTCCCCCCCCCCCCCTCTCTCTTTCTTTCACCCGTCTCGTCAATGGATAAGAAGTCTCGGAAGTTGATCGTTAGACGGAAGGACCATCAGGGAGAACCACGGGCAATGTGCCACTGACATACCTGCGGGAAAATCAACCAAGTGTTTCATGATAGATTATCAAACTCAAACATGACTTCGGTGGACGCTTCGATCGCACTATAATCTATCTGATAGACATTGTGGTTGTCACTGGATAGTGACGTTTTGTAAGTTGAATTTGTCAATATGTATTTGTCAATCTACACGGAAATAACGGTTTTGATAAAGTATCTAAAAATTTAACTACATACAGATTTGAATATAATTTTGTTTGGACTATCAAAATAATTATGTAGAACGTTTCACACTCCAATAATTGAAGTTTTTAAAAGCCATTGATTTTGATTGAATTTTCGTAGATAAAGTTGTGAAAATAAATATAATACAATCCGATTTTTATGATGACTAAAAATTTATGATGGCTGCTAAAACTTTGACGAGTATATCAAAATTTTTGGGATTTTTATATAATCTAATTCTATATAATTTGAAACAATCAAAAATTTGCCTGTTTCTTAAAGATCCTTTGTTGATGGGACAATTAAAGTTGCCGTTAAATGGTTAAACTTGATTACTAGAATGTTAAAATGTTTACTAGAATGTTTTTTTGCAGCATTATCGTCAGTGTTTAAAACGTTCTATTGTTTTATTGGTCCAACAAATTATTTTCAGACCTATATCTAGCTGAATTTTAGATATTCTAGCAAAACTGTTTTTTCCATATTAAAGACTACGAAGACTACGAGCAACTCTCGATGCAAAAACTTTGAATATATTATAATGCCTACATAAATAGTCTAGTATCGCCAAAATATTGTTAATGCGTCATAAACATAATACAAATTGTAAACATATAAAAGACTAGATGATTGAGAATACTGTTAGCTTGTTAATATTATTCTAAGAGTCATTGGACGAAACAGTAATATACATTGTGACTGCAGAAGAGAAAAAATTATATTTGTACATTATTATATTCCCTGAGTATAATTATTGCAATGTAATATAAAAAAGAGAAAATAAGATTTTACTGTAAATGGATTAAAAAAGTTATTACACGAAAAGAACGATTTGACTGAAGTGTTTAAAAATATAGTCTAGATATAGATTTGGAAATAGTTATATCTAAGACGATCAAAATAATTACGTAGAACGTTCTAACTGATAGCTAGAGTGTTAAAACTTTTTGTATCGTTTCTGTATAATTACTTTGATGATCCAAAGTCAAATTACTTTCAAATCTGTATTTAGCTAAATCTTTATTATATTTTTATTATATCTTAGCGCGCGAAATCATTTCTTACTTACACAATTTATTACTGTTTCACTCAACAGCTCAAACGTAAAGAATGCAATAAAATACTTAATATTAAGAGAAATCTAAGAAAACGATCATGTATAATCCGAGTATTCAAACGGAAAAAATGATCGAATTTTCGCAATGATGCGTGTCGCTATTCGCTTTGCGCCGAGCTGTATCGAAGGAAGGAATCGATACGTTTCGCGCGTGGACGGTATTGACGAGTACAAATCGATGCCTTCCGAAATCAATAATCGATAATACGATTGTGCACGCCCGCCGATTGTGATGCCCGAGTGAAATGCACGCAAACACGTATACATGACAACGGCAGGCTTGCCGGCAATTAGTAATGGCGCATCATACGAGATGCGCGATATTGTTGCGGCCCGCGCGGAAAAGCGAACGAATTCTCACCACGCGAATAAATGGGTGACAAACAACGACGCGATAATCGATCAATCCCTAAATCAAGATCCGCGGGCCGCGATTTTTCATCGGACAAAACAATAGATACACTAACAATTACACCCGAAGCTCTCCTCGTCTCGAGCACGCTCGAGCTCGTAGTGTTAATTAGTTACTTGTTAAAACTGTGAGTGAAGCACACGTTTGCGATCTTGTGTAATGTCATTCGTAACGTTTGTAAGCGAATTCTGCAGCGGAATGAACATGTGCCTTTATATCTAATGTCCTTTGCGCCTTGTACATAATAGAGATAAAAATAGAGGTAAATGTGCTAAGCCATTATGCGCCGATTGTCGGCGATTTTGTGTTAATATAGATAAAGGAGTATTGGTAATATGACGTTAGAATAACAGACGTTAGAATGCAACGTCTCGAGATCAGAATTCTGATAAAAGGATAATAATTGGAAATGAAGATGCGCGATTAAAGGAAGTGTCCCTCCGAGCTTATTGATAGTTAACCTCCTTCGATCCTTTGGCGAGGAATGTAATCTTCGCAAATTGGATGCTGTATAGGAATGCCATTACTGAAATTTTTATTTAATATAAAGGAAGGAGAAAAGAGAAAAAGTTAAATTAAAGGCAAATTAGTTCGAAAACTTTTCGATATACGTCGCACGGTGTATCTTTAATGAGGAATACTCTGTTGGCCAATTTACTAATGAAGAACGGTTAACGGAGACAATCTTCAGTGAAACTAAAGATTACTTTTTAAATGAGTGACGGGATTTAAACCGAAGAGTCACGCTTAATTTGATTATACGGCACAGGGAAGAAATCTCTCCTAATTCCTTCCGTTCGCGATTTATACATAGTGCGATTAAGCTTTTATTCGTTAATTGACAGCGGCATCTTTAATCGCCTTTTATCGCAATCATATAAGCGTTTCGATTCATGTTTAACTCAATTTAAGCGTCAATCAAATGATGTTACAAAAATAAAGAGGAAATATGTGATGATAATCTAACTTCGTGCAAGATTAAGACGATCCATTCTTGACGTTTCCAGGCTTGAGTTTGTTATTGAAAAGTGTATTTTAAAAGCAAATAAAATATTGATACTTCAATACTCGTCTAATAAATCATTTTATTTCTGATGCAAAATATGTTAGGTTATTTTTAATGCAAAAATATATGAAATCTCGGAGAAACGGTCTTCTACACGGAAAGAACCATGCTATATGAAGTAGCATGCTTCATTGCACATAATGGCAGCAGATTAAATTAAAACAATCAATCAGATTGTCCTAAAGTTAGTATAATTCACAGTATAATGCAGTATAATGCAAAGATATATATATATATATATATATATA